AAACACAGCAGAATGCGGGAATCTCAGCAAGGCATCCATTCCATCGGCAGAACTTCAGAAATCAGCAGTGTTCTCAGTCTGTGTTTTGACGGGTCATTACAAAGAAGGAAAACAAAAGAACAAAGACATGCTCTGCAATGAGAGAAGGGAGCGGGATGAATGTTTCCTTGGTGGATGGGAATGCAACTCGGTGCACCTCAGCTCAAGCAACAGAGCCCAACAGCGTAATTTACTAATTTACTAGGCTGTGTTGGACGAGTGCATGCGCCGGCCAGATCTTCCCGGTACGCCGTCCACTCCCAGTGGCCAGCCTGGTTGCTACGGCTGTGCCTCGACTTGTTGTAGTGATTTCTCTTGACCTACTCTCTTAACTTAGTTGTATGCGACATCACACCAGCCTGGTCCACTGGGCGGACGGCGTTCCGGGCAGATCTGACGGGTGTTGGACGGGTGCATGGGCCGGTCGGATCTGCCCGGAACGCCGTCCGCCCAGTGGACGAACACAGCCTGGTCCACACCAGAGCTGCGCAGCTCCCAGAGTTCCGTAAAAAAATTTGAGTCTGTTTTTAGTGTGCAGGTCCATTCGAGTCTGTCTGACTCTGTTATTCAACCAGTTTTGACTCTTTTGAGGTATTTGAGTCTAATTTGGACTTTTGGTTCTTCTTTTTTTCAGACTGTTCGGAGTTTGTTTGTGTCTGGTTTAGGCGAAACCTGAAAGCATTTTATAAATGCAGAATCAGCCCAGATTTGGACAGAGACCCAGATGGGCACAGAGGTGCCCCACAGGAAAAAAAAAAGAAAAAAAAGAAAAAAAAAGGCTGGTTTTCGCTTGCAGGTGACCCCCGAGCGACTTCCCCACGCTGCACAGCAGGCGATCCAAAAAAAAAAGGCCTCGCTATATTACTAGTTTGCGTGTTGGTAACTGTATTATACTTTCTTTTTTTTTTTTTTTTTTTTTTTAAAAAACATACACCCCTTCTATTATGGGGGGCCTCAGTCCGGTTGCTCGTCACCATCATACTTCCTCATGCTAAGTGGCCTGAGTGAGTACACTATTGTGTTTTCGTTTGAACTTTTTTTTTTCTTTTTTTTTTTTGTGAAGGTTTCAAAAACTTGGTTTCAAATTTCATCATCTTCACAAGCAAGGTGCCATTAGCATGGAGGATTGGATTAAGCGCCTGAATCTTGATGGGTTTGAAGCAGAGATGCAGAACAGCAGATAAATATTAAATAGCGTTTTTCTGCACCTGTATACGAACACGTCCAGATTCAGGTGTTGAATACAATCCTCTTTGCTAGTGGGACCTCGGCCCAGCACAGGCCAACAGGCCACTCTGGTTGTATTATGTGTCATTTCTTTTTCTCTTTTGAAAGCATTTCAAAAACATGGTTCTGACATCCTCCTTTAATCCATGACTGACTTTTTTTTTTTTTTTTTTTTTTTTTTGGACTCCTTTGCTGAGCTCAGTGAGCTGTGAATTATTAGTTAGAGTGCTTCTTGCCTGAAAGGTATCAAGAATGGCCTGCTTTCCATCTTGCCGTTTTAGGAAATTGTAGAAGTCAATTCTTCCCTGCATGGTCAACGCAGTATCCACAGGATTAAAAAGAACACAGAAAGACAGAAAGTCAGACTGATTGCCTTTTTTTTTTTTTTGGGCCATTTCTCGATTTATGCGTGTCATCCTTGCGCAGGGGCCATGCTAATCTTCTCTGTATCGTTCCAATTTTAACGGATGTCCCGAAGGACAGTCAGACTGATTGCCACACACTACAGTGCTGGAAATTGGAAAGTACAAATGCTGCTAGGACGGAGCAATCATTGGGGAAGGGAAAAAAAAAAAAAAAAAAAAAGGTACATCTGAGGAGTGGTACATACTAATAGTCTAATACAAAGCATTTCAGAGTTCAAACCTTTTGCTTTTCTCTTTTTTTTTCTTTCCAAATTTGGAAAGAAAAAAGGGGGAGGTTACTGTTGAAGTTGAAGTGGGGCGGATCGATCAACGTGAACGACAGCACTGTTGTGCAAAGGTGTCGCACTTCGTGCTGAGCAACAACAACGAGCGTCGAGCACCCCTTAGGATCACACACTCATGCCAAACAGTCCCGCAAGTCGATTCGATGGAGTCGTTTTACGAAGTCACGCCTTTCAAAAGTTCCGTTCCAAAAAAAAAAGTAAAGAAAAAGTCATCATCAATTGCTAAGTGCCTTGGGAGGAAGAGGAAGAAGAAGGAAAATGCGGAGAGAAGAAGAAGAAGAAGAAGCAAGAAGAAGTCTTTCTTCCCGACACATCCATCTCTCACCTCGTTCTTCACTTTCACACTTGTTTTTTTCTTTCACTTTCAGACATCTTCTTCAAATCGCTGCTTTCTCTTTTGTTCAAATGTGCATGCAAGTAAAAGGATTTCACACAGTCTGCATGTCCCAAGTCCCGAGTCCGGGTCTTAGAGTCCTGAGTCCCTGTCCCGGAGTCCCACCTAGGCCCATTCCCAGTTGAGGATCATTGCACAAGTGAAGCCAACGAAAGGAATCTTTGCGTTCGTCTTTATTCAAACGTACGTCCATCACGATCACATTCCGTGGACCTTCCGAGATAGGTTCCCTAGGCCTAGCATCCACCCTCTACTATGACATGGATCCTTTTTTTTTTTTTTTTTTTTTTTTTTTTAAGGAAAGGTTGTATGAAGAAAAGCTACCTCGACAAAGTACTTGGTTGACACGGCTCTCTCCTCTCTGAGATGTCTGAAGTTCTCCTTGGCGCAGCGTACATAGTTGTCCTCCATATCCTTGCATTTCTGATGCATGGGTCCTGAAATACAACACAGCCCGTTACTCGCATCAAGGGGCTCCATCGATCAAGGGCTCCACATTATGGAGTGTAACTTGTTCCGGCATAATCCAGATCGATCACAGCCTGTTACTCGCAATCGAACCACCCTTGAATAAATACATGATGAGTTCAGATCCTACTGCACATGCTCCATTTATCAACAGTCCATCTTCCGGCTAGTTCGCACCTATAGTGCCAGTTAACCGGCAGCAAAATCGTGGGTCAGGCCTGCGAGATGGATGGAAAAGGCAGACGTCGCCAGCAAAGTTGCGCGCAGCGCCAGTTCGGCAGGAATTGCCGCGCGCCGCGCGCAAAAAGTGTTGTCGGCGAAAAGAGGCTCTCGGAGGGACCGACGGTCTAACCATTCACTGCCCTGTGTCTTTCCTTGGTTGGTTCCTACCATCTTCACCCGAATAGAATGCCCGGTCATTATAGCTGCATTTGGGCCAACATTCAGTCCAGATGCAGCGATAATGACCGGGCGTTCTATTCTGGTGAAGGCGGTAGTCTGCTGCCATCGACGACTTGAAACCAAATTGTCGTCTAGAGGTCGGAGGGCTTGTGGGGCCCCTTTCGTTTCTAAATCATTCCCTTTTTGTGATGATGCAGACTGTTTCGTCTCACGTGCACCGATTCATCAGGCGGCCAAGCTTTCAGCAATCTGTCGAATCCCCATATTGTGATGCTTTCCAACCCCCTGTTGAAAAAAGTGGACGGCCAGCAGGCAACACCACAAGCGGAACATGGCAGCAAGGCAGCGACTCAGCGAAGCACCAGGCAACGCTAACGGGGAGGCCCGACTAAACAGTACTAACGCTAGCTGCATGGAACGACAGTGCAAGCAGACACACCAAGGCAACAACACAGCAGAGCACAAGGCAGCAACTGCCAAAGAAGCCAAACTACACGGCACACAAGCAACATGCATGGGAAGACAAGCCATGCGGATGGGGCAGCAAGGCAGCAGTGTAGCAAGGCACAAAGCAACACCAACAAGGCAAAGAGCAATACCAACAAGGCAAACAAACCAGCAGAGAAAGACAATGGCAAGCAGGAAGCAGCGCCAACAAGGCAACAAAGACAACTTCCTGTCCAGACTGTTGTGGCCGCATTCTGCCGCTAAGTTCATTTGCCCCGCAGTCACCGGAATTGGACCAATTGATACTACTGTAAATGACAGTGTGGCGGGTCCTGAGTAACGGGTCGAAAACTGAAATTAGGGTTTGGGCCTGTGGTTTTTTTTTTTTTTTTTTTAGTTTTTTTCTTTGGCCTGTTTTTGTTTTCGTTCAAGGTTGCTGTGTGCCAATGTCCCCTAGCCGGTATCGCCCACCTGCAGGTCGGGAGCAGCCCCCGCATGTTCTCTCGTGAACACGGTTCTGGCTGCTACGGGGTTCCCCGTATGCCTACAATTAGGAGTAGTGGTAGGTAGGTAGTGTGAGGTGAAATTGAGACAAGAATATAGCTTAAAATAAATAAATAAAAATTGGTATCATTAATGGCATGAGAAGTTGTCTGAAAATTCAGGCCTTCGTTAACCGCCTCTCGATTCACCGGCTTCTCAATACTCACCGCTGGCGCAGACAACTCTAGACTGGCACAAGAGGCCAGCTACCGGTAGTGTTTCAGTTGCATGGAATTTTGAGTCGAGGAGCAGACATTGCCTATGGTAAGTGGCCACACCTACATACCGGACAGGACCAATTCGGCTGTGGACTGTGGAAGCACCACATCCAATGCGCGCAATTGCAGTTGCTGCATCGGATGGCACAGTGTATGCAGATGGCACAGGCTACATGGTTCGTACATGCTAGGAAGTCGGAGGCATGCCGACCGCAATTGTATAGGCATTGCCGTTCGTGCATGCCAGGAACACAGAGGCATGCCGACCGCAATTGTATAGGCATGTGTGTGTGCGTGTGTGTGTGTGTGTGTGTGTGTGTGTGTGTGTGTGTGTGTGTGTGTGTGTGTGTGTGTGTGTGTGTGTTTTAGATTGTCCCCACAACAGCCCCAATTCCACCCAGGTGAATAGATTCAGAATCAAAGCAGTCTTTATCCTATTGCAGACAACGAGAGCATTTGAGATGTCAACAGATTAAAGCAATTTTATAATTAGACAGTGTGTGTGTGTTAGATTTTCCCCACAACAGCCCCAATTCCACCCAGATGAATAGATTCAGAATCAAAGCAGTCTTTGTCCTATTGCAGACAACGAGAGCATTTGAGATGTCCAACATATTAAAGCAATTTTATAATTAGACAGTTTTTTGGTTGTCCTTGGGGTACCCCTTTCATTGTTCTTGCAACTCCCCTTTTACTGTGCCTCTTACGTACAAGATGCCCACGTTGATTGTGGTTGAGCAGCAGCTGCCCACATCCCCATGTGCCTCCACGGCCCACTTGCACGTTATTTCAGGAGGCAGAGTAAAAGGGAAGGTATGCTCCTGTGCATCTCTTCAGAGCTTCATTCTCCTGTCCATTTCATTTCAGATCTTCAGCTTATACAGCCTTTGTGTCCGTCCTTCATCTTCATACTTCCGTTCATTTCTGATCTTCATATCGTCTATACTCTTAATGATGCTCATTCGTATGGATTTGTTAGTAGTACAAAGGGAGTGGAGTGGAGGGTGGAGGGTGGAGGGTAAGGGATAGAAGGCAGAGTTCTCTAGGAGTATGGGGCAGGGGAGGTAGGGGCAACGGGAAGGAAAGAAATATGTGGAGGGCAGGATAGAGTGACAAACACACACACACACACACACACACACACACA